CTCTACATCATGGGGTTGGGGGCTTGGTTCTCTTCAAGACACTGTCTCCGGCACTTCCAGCAGTGCCTGGCACGTGGGTGCTCAACTACAAAGTAACCTACAAATGCAATGCAATCCCAATTCAAGTCCCAACTAGATCTTTTGGGAACCCAACAAGCTCATGAAAATATTCATGTACTCCTAGAGGTGGTGGTAGCATATGAATGTGTTAACCGCCACTGAAGTGTCACTTTAAAGCAGTTAATTTTCTGTTACATGAATTTCACTTCAAAAAAAAATATGGTATAATACCGTTGCACACCCATGAGAATAACAAAAATAAAAAAGACTGACCATAGGGGCGGCCAGTTAGCTCAGGTGGTTAGAGCGCAGGCTCATAACGCCAAGGTTGCTGGTTCGATTCCCACATGTGCCAAGGAGCTGCGCCCTCCACAACTAGATTGAAGATAACGACTTGGAGCTGATGGGTCCTGGAAAAACACACTGTTCCCCAATAAAATTTATTAAAAAAAAAAAAGACCATAGCAGGTGATGCCAAGGATGTGAGGGAACGAGAACACATACATTGCTGGGCGAGGGAAAGAGTATGGCCACTTTGGAAAACATTCTGAAATTTCTTTAAAATTAAATGTTTACGTCCCATATGATGCAACCATTCCACTCCTGGGTATTTACCCAAAAGAAATAAAAGCACACGTACAGATTTATACATATAAATGTTCATAGCAGCTCTATATGTAATAATCAAAAACTGGAAACCACCCAAACATCTATCAACAGATGAATAGGGTAAATGAATTGTGGGCCAGCCATACAACGGAATACATACAGCTCAGCAATAAAAATGAGTTAACTTTTAAGACATGATACGACCCACGCACCAAACAAGCACTCCTGACTCGTCAGCCAGGAGTCTATCTGCCAAGAGGGTACCTGAGAGGATTGGGTGGGAGACTGGAAAAGAAAGAGACTAGAGGCAAAAGCTGGGAACGGGAGGTCCACCCAGTGCTGATAGCAGAGAGTGGCCCCGTTTATTGTTTATACACAGCTTTAATAGCAAAAATAACTTTCCTTAGGTAGGGGGGTTTTGGGAACTTGAGGAATAGTCCCCTCCTCCCAGGGAACACCTCCCCCGGGGCTTTCCATAAGGTGTAGGGAAGCAATCTTCCCAGGGTTAAAGCAAAACATAACAAGCAGAAACTGTTACTAGGATGGCCTTCCACTCTGTCGCTTTCAAGGTCGTTGGCTGTTTTCTCCTCAGCGGCCAACCTTCTCACACTGCTCACCCCGGGCCTGAGAGCCTGTCAGCCTGCCAGCTTTCAGGCTTAATCCTTACTGCAAGCCTCCAGCTCTCTACAAAGACATGTAACAATATGTATATGCTTTAAAAGAATTGTATCGGGTAAAAACTACCAGACAAAAAAGGGTATATACTATGTGATTCTAGAAATGCAAGCAATCTATAGTGTCAGAAGCCAGTCAGCAGTTGCCTGGGTAATGGAGGGCACGTGTGGAGAAAAGAGAACCCTTGTGCACTGTTGGTGGGATTGTAAATTGGTGCAACCACTATGGAAACCAATATGGAGGTTCCTCAAAAAATTAAAAATACAGTAAGTCCCTAACTTACAATCGAGTTCCATTCCGGGAGAATGTCTGTAAGTCAAATTCATTCGTAAGTCCAACAAAGTGAGTTTTATACATCTTTGACGCTTCCTAGCAGTCCCCTCCGCATCACCACTGCTTTTCCTCTTGCTTCCGGACATCCTGGGCTCTGACTGAGCACTGTACTACTGTACACTGTCGCACTGTACAGTAAGCACACAGCAGCACAGCTGTGACAATGTCTGGCAGACACGTGAGCTACTTCTGCGATTTGTTCGCATCTACAAATGTTTGTAATGTGAGGTCCGTTCGTATCTGTGAAAGTTCGCAACTCGAATGCTCGTAAATTGGGGATATACAGCTGACATTCAATCCGGCAATTCCACTTCTGGGTATTTATCTGAAGCAATTCAAAACACTAATTCTCAAAAAGATATATGCACCCCTATGTTCATTGCAGCACTATTGACAATAGCCAAGATACTGAAGCAACCTAAGTGCCTACCCATCAATAGATGATTGGATAAAGAAGATGTGGTACAGGCCAAGTGGCTCAGTTGGTTAAGAGCTCACTTAAGAGTGCGAGCTCTGAGCAACAGGGTCCCGAACTGAGCTGCCACTGAGCTGCCAACAGGTGGCAGGATGGCTCAGCTAAAAAAAAAAAAGATGTGGTACACATATACAATAGACTATTAATTGGCCATAAAAAAAGAGTGAAATCTTACTATTTGTGACAGCATGGATGAACCTAGCGGGTATTATGCTAAGTGAGGTAAGTCAGACAGAGAAAGACAAATATCATTATGATCTCACTTATATGTAGAATCTAATGAACAAAATAAACAAACAGACAGAAACAGACTCATAGAGAACAAACTGATGGTTGCCAGAGGGGAGATGGTTGGTGGCAGAGAGAAAAAAGTGAAGGAATTAAGTACAAATAGGTAGTTACAAAACAGTCACGGGAATGTAAATTATAGCATAGGGAATATAGTCGATAATATTGTAATAACTATGTATAGTGTCAGATGGGTACTATACTTATGGGGGATCACTTCATAAGTTATATAAATGTCTACCCACTATGCTGTACACCCGAAACTAATATACTATTGAATGTCAACTGTAATGGAAAAATCTCTTTTCAGTTGAAAAAATAAAACATGATAGTAACATTAAAAAAGAAAAGAAAAAAAAAGATCCGCCAACCCAGAACCATAAATAGAGTATATTGACAGTTGTCGGGAGCCCCTGAGCATGTGGTGGTTGGCTCCCCTGATAACAGAACCCAAGTGATACTCCAGAAGGAGCCAGGTCCTAGGCCTCTGCTTAGGGGGCACGTGACACCTGCAGCTGGCCGCGCAGCCTCTGGCCCACTATGGCTGACCATGCTAAAAACAAAAAGCCCTCCTCTCTGGGATAACTCCTTCCTGCCAACTGTTAGAAGACCACCACAGTTCTGTCTCTGTGGCAGGGCTCCTTGGCCAGCTTGGGGTGCACCCAGAAGGTGCTGAGGGAAGGCCTTGTACCCCAGGAGGCAGGGCAGCCTCTGCTCACCATCAGTCCAGCACCCCCCCCCATCCTGGCTGCAGCCCACCTTCCACGCTTCAACTCCTGCTGCTCAGCAGAGAACTGTCTCCAACACGCTGCCCGAGGCCCAGACTCCAAAACTCACCTCAAGCACCTTCTCCATGGGGAGCAGAGTCCCAAAGCTGAACTTTACCACCTACAGGAAGCCCTCCTGGTGCACTCGCTTGCTCTGTCTCCTCCCAACATCTTGTATTAGGGGCCAGCTCCCTGCCTGCCAGATGTGAGAGCCCTGAAACCGTGTGGGACCCTGGGTGCTCCCCCAGTGCTGGGCTGCACTGAGCCAGCTGGCAGGAGACACCTAGTCCACCTCAATGGATGTCAGCGAGGTCCCCACAAGGAGACTACTTGAGCCCTGGCCACCCAATTCAATGATGAGGAAACCAAGGGTCAGAGAAAAGCCTTGCCTCATCACCCAGCAGTTAGTGTGTATTTTCTGTATTCTTGATGCTTGGGTAACTGGGGTCCCACTAAGTAGGGAGGGACTGTCCCTTGGGGTTAGCTCATGCCTAAAAACAGAATTCACCTAAACTCAACTGATCCAGAGCCACCATCCCCCTACCCGGATGACCCCAGGGCCAGGTGCCAGACATCTAGGGACAGTATAGTGCACGTGCCTGACATTAAGCGTTCTGATCCCCAGGCATCCATTGCAAACGACATCCATCTTGAATTATCACAGTGCCAGCCTTAGGACTCAGCTACTAGCAAACCACCAGATAAGGAATCAGGCTGCTCCCACCCATGAAGCTCCCTCTTGCAGGAAGCCCTGGGTGACCTAGGTAACTGACCACTTGGGGGGCCCTGCTTCTCCCTTCCTGCACCCTAACTCCTGCTTCATGCTTTAGCCAATAAAGAACAAACCCAGGAAACCCTAGATGCCCCACCCTCAGATCTTAATACAGGCAGAGCCCCAGGTTCTCTCTCTCTCCCCACACTGTGTGGCCCTGGGCCGGCCATGTACCCTCCAGGACCTGTGAGTAATAACTCTTGTTCCTCAAATTTCCCCCATGGTTATTGCTGAGGTGCATCCTGGGATCATACCAAGAACCGCAAGGGCTGGTCCAGCCATAACCCTGGCTCTGATTGGGGACATGTCTGTGGGGGGAGCATGAGGAACACGGACCCAGGTAAGCATCTCAGGGATGCCTAGCTGAGCATACGTGTGTCAGCAGGCTGAGATTTACACAGTGGACAGTGCCCATGCTCAGAGCTCACTGCAATTACTCAAACTAGCAATCCCATGCCTGCTTACCCTGCCTTGCCCATGCCTCTGGAGGAAGCGACAATAAAGGCTCTGGCCCATGTTTATTCCCCCCGCCACACACACACCTGCCTTTGCCTCCTGACTGCCCCAGTACTCCCCCCCCCCCTGTGGCCCTTCCTGGCATGACATGCCCCTCCCTTGGGAACAAGTTATAAACTGTCTTTTCAATGGCAGTCTTCTCCTAATCTGTTAGCCTCATTATACCTGAGTAATAAAACCTACATTCTAAAATGGAGTGGAGCCGAGACCAACCCAGGACACCTAGCTTCCATCTCAAAGAGGAGGCAGCCATGATGGACATGGACCACCAGGAGGTACTGTCCAAGGTCCTTTTTGCAGAAGCCTGCGGGCAATGCAGAATTCCCCCGCTGCCCTGGCCCCACTGCCCCTGCTCTGGATCCCAGAGGCAGAATGGCTGTCAGGAGGCCCAGGGCTAGGGCACAAGTCCCACACTCTCTGGGCTGGGTACTCCACCACAGAGGAGGGGCTGCAGCCAAGACCCCAGGGTGCCTGGGCAGAGAGAGACAGAGGCCCAGAGGCAGCAGAGGATGTGAAGTAACTTTAATCACCACCATCAGGTGGGGGCAGTAGGAGTGTCTAAGCACAGGGCCACCCATGGGAATAGCCTGGGACAAGCCCCTTGGTTCCAGTTGGGGTGTGTTCCCCATCCAGCTTCTTGCATCCAGGGGAGGGCCTGGACACCTCCAATGTCCAGGGTCACGTCTGCAGGAGTTCAGGTCTGCAGTGCCGCGTGGCCAGAAGAACCATGTCTGAGGACTGCTGTGCCAGCAGCAGTGTGCGTGTCCCCATAGCTGCCACACTCAGGGCTGGGCAACGTGATGGCAAGAGCTCATCCTCAGAGCAGCAAGGTCTTCCTCTCTGACAGCAGCAGGGACTCCTTCACGGCCACCAGGAGCCCCTGGGCACACAGCCGGGAAAACGCAAGCAGGATGGCAGCAACCAGGCCTGCGCTTAGCACCACTATGGGGAACAGACAGATGGGGGTGGGTGAGGGAGTGGCAGGAGGCCCCTCACCCACCAAGCTCCTAATCCATTGGCATGGGGGTCTGCAGCCCATCCCCTCCCTGAGCCCCAGCTCTCAGGCAGAGCGGCCCAGTCCCTAGGAGTGCGAGGACCTGTTCGTCATACCAGCAGCTGCCATAGCCCCATAGGCATTTCGGTTTCCCGACTGGACTGAGTCCTGGTGGTTGACTAAGGTGGTGGTGGTATTCCTGAGATACGTGACATTGTCCAGGGTCACAGAGGTCACAGGGGTCCCCACAGATGTGCCTTCCTGGTGGATCTCAGTTCCTGCAATTAAGTCGAGGCATTCATTAGCTTGGGAGGGGGTACCTGAGGCGTGGGGCGGAGGATGAACAGGTGTTCCAGGTGCCTGGGGAGAACCTTGAGGCTCATCTTCCATCCCAGACTGAGAGAGGCTGGTGAGCACTGCTGCCGCAGGGACTGACCTCTGGTTGCCCCCACGGAGATGCAGACACAAGCAGATGCACGTGTCCACACCCCAGCCTGGTCACACAACGAAAGGTGTCAGGCATCCTTGTTTAATGACCAGTCCTCCCCACCGCTACAGGCATATGAGGTCCCATGGCACACACCGCAGTCAAGCTCATCGCTGGAATCGGGACAGTCCGGGTGGCCATCACAGAACCACGTGTGTGGGATGCAGGAATTGCCCAGTAGGCAACGGAGCTCCCCGTCCCGGCAGGGCTGGCTGCTGCAGTTCAGAAAGTTCTCGTCGATGCCATCGGGGCAGTCATCCATGTTGTCACAAGAGCATGAGCTGCCTGTGGGTGGCGGGCACTGCCCATCCTGGGCACACGGTTCTATCTCTGGAGTACAAGGTCAGTCAGGTCCCAAAACACTCCCACAACAGGGCCCAGGCACTCCCCACAGCCCACCTCTCTGTAAGCCCCGCCTTCCAAGGACAGTGGACCCTATAAAGCACGCCTATCCTGAAGGCTGTGCGCCTGCCTGTTATCTCCGCCTTCCAAGGACTCGCCTCCCTGCAAGCTCCTCCCCCCAAGACCCAACTAACTCCGCCTCCCTGTAAACCCACCTCTTCTCAAGCTTGAAACCCACCCAGACTTCCCTCCTCACAAGTCCCATCTACCCTCAGGCCCCGCCCCACCCCACTTGAAAGCCACACCCCTTCCACAAACACTGCCTCCTGTGGTCCCGCCCCTGCAACCCCCATCCAGGGGTATAGCCACTCACCGCACTCCTCATCACTGCCATCAGGGCAATCCTGGTCACCATCGCAGCGCCAGATGAGGGGCACACAGAAACCACTGGTGCGGCACTGGAAGCTGGTGGGCAGGCACGAGCCTGCACTGGGGCCTGTGAGATGCAAACAAATGAGACCTAGGAGGTCTAAGTCTGGACCCTCCTCCAGGAGCCCAGTGGTCACAGGCTGTAACCACCAGGAGACAGGTCAGGACCCAGAGCACTGGAACTACATTGGTGGCCCCCCTTTGCTGAGGACCTACTATGTGTGGGTCTTGGAGCAGAAGAGTTCATGGCCTCACCATGAGCTCTCCTGGGCAGGTTCTATTGCGATGCCCATTCCACAGAAGACACTGCAGAGAGGTTAAGGCCAGAGGTGGGAGAGCTAATGGCAGAGTGGGGGTTCAAACCCAGGTCTCATTGAATCAGTCGTCTTTACCAGGCTCCAAACAGCCAGATAGTCACCCAGGAGTCTCTCCAAGCTCCATGGTTAAACAGGCTGGGGGAGGGGCCATCTCGAAACCTGCCCTGGATTAGGGCAACGGTCAGGGTCAGCAGGGCCTGTTACATCCCACCTGCTTAGCAAAGGTGAAACCGAGGCTCTGGGTAGATGACCTGCTTTGTGAACTCAGCTCCTAAATCCCTCCCAGATCTGACCACTTTACCCATCCTGAATGTGCGACCTCCTCACCAGGCCCCCACCCCCATCTCCATTCAGACACTGGAGACCTCTCAGAGTCACATCATTTGGTCACCCACCTCCCGCCTTCTGCTCAAAACCATCCCCTGGTCCCACGACCCTCTCACAACCAAATCCTACCTGCTCTGTTGGCCACAGGGCCTGGCCCAACCCTGAATCCTCTCTGCAGCCACACCTCCTCCCACATTCTCCTCTTCACCAAGCTCCCTCTGTCGTGGCCTCTTCACTGCCTCTCCAAGAGGCCTGGCTTGCTCTATCTCAGGGCCTTTGCCGGTGCTGTTCCCTAGCCCAGTGCACCCTTTCCTCCCTGCACTCTACCTGGTGATTTCCTCCTCAGCCTTCAGATCTCAGTCTATTTTCTAGGAGGGGTCTCATGCCCCCTCAAAGATCCCTGAGGCTCTGCTTCCCACTTATAACAGCCATCCTTAAACTGGTACCCGCATAGACTGGACACTCAGTGTGTCCGGGCCGACCTTTTGACCACAAGCCCAGGGCAGTGCCTGACAACAAGTGGACACAGGTCACACTCAGATGAGATCTGAGCCTTCCTGGACCCTGGGCAGTGAGGCTTCGGTTGTATGCTGATAGGGAGGAGCATAGAAGGGCCCAGAACCTGAGCCAGCAGGTGGGAGCCCGAGGGAAAGAGCAAGGGAGGGCCTTGAGGGCTTCCTCTTGGGTGCAGCAGGATGGGTGGCAAACACCTGGTTTGGTCCCATCGCTTGACCCTTCCATCTTTATTCCAAACCTCCCACTCTCCACAGTTGGCCCCTCTGTGGGCCACACAATCCCGGAGCCGGGTGGAGCCCGTAAGAACTGTAGACAAGCTGGAGCGGGCTTCCTTCCCTGCCAGTGGGGAGCTGAAAGCCTTTGGGCGAGGCTTCCTCCCCAGGCCTAGCCACTCTTGGCCCAGGCGACCAACCACCTCCCTCCTTGGCCTGCTGAAGTGTGTGTCCCTCTGTCAAGGCAGCAGAGCTGACCTGGGCTTATAAGGCTGTGGGGTCAGACGGGAGTTGGGGTAACCAGTGACTTCTCCTCCCAGCCTTAGTTTTCTCACGTGTAAAAGGGGCAGTTAGGAGTCCCTACCTGTGTTCTGAGGAGACTGCTTGTGTGTAAAGAGTTTGGAACTTGATTAACATGAATCCTGCCTCCTTGAAGGGACCAGAAACATTTAACCTGAAAAGGCAGGGACTTTGGGGTAAGGAAGAGGACCAGATAAGCCGGGAGCCCACGGAGGAGTGGGGTAAATGTGTGAACCTGAGCGCCCAGCTGAAAGTCAGGGGCACTGTGTGCACAGGGAGACCACTCTAATTCTCCCAGCTGCCTTTGCAAACCTCAGAGATGGCCACCAACCACACTTAGGCCAGGGGTCACATAGAGGGAGACCTTTCATTCTCTAAGGCCAGAGGAATAAAGTGAACAGATTGGGGAGGGGAGGGTGCCTGGTTCGCTCAGTTGGTTAAGAGCGCAGTGCTCATAACGCCAAGGTTGCTGGTCCTCGCATGGGCCACTGAGCTGCGCCCTCCACAACTATTGTAGATTGAAACTACGTAACTTGGAGCTGATGGGCCCTGGAAAAACACAGTTCCCCAATTTAAAAAATATATATATTTTTTAATATATATATATATATATATATATATATATATATATATATATATATATATATATATATATATATATATATATATATATATATATATATATATATATATATATATATATAAAGTGCAGAGACTGGGAAGAGGGGAGGAAACAGCCACATGGCCTCAGCTCAGGCATAGGGGTTTGGAAGGCGCAGCTGCTGTGGGAGGTACCAGGTACCGGGTGACCGGCAATGCAGTGTTAGAGGTCGGACAACCTGAGCCTGCAGCGAGCCTTCCTGCCCATGCTGGGCTGAAGGGCGGCTTGGAGGTGACAATGAGGCACGACAAAGCAAAGCAGGTGCAGGGTGGGAGCAAGGCCGAAGCAGGGTAGTTAAAGGCTGGGAGTCCCCCTATTGCGAATAGCTCACACAGCGGCCGGGCTATGTTGTCGGGCTATGTATGGAGTTGAGAAGCACGAGCTGGGGGAGTGTCCGGGACACACATGCGGTGCAGCCCACGTCAAGGCACTGCCGGCGCTCGGGGACAAAGCCAAGCTGCTCGCGGGCTGCGCGGATCTCACTCACCTGAGGCCTGGGCCGGGGATCGGGTTGTGACCGAGGTCGGGGCGGCCTCCAAGCCCAGTCCGAAGCCGAGAAGCATCCACAGCGCCAGGATCAGCACAACCGTTCCGGGCGCACTTTTCCAAGCCATTCAGGCGCTCAACGCGCCGCCCACGCCCGGCACCAGCAGCAAGAGAGCCCCGGCTTGCTCTTATCCCCGCGCACGCGCGCGCACCGTCCGGGGGCGGGACTCACGCCCCTAATCTTGAGGATCCGCGGTCCCGGGGCTAAGCCTACCGTAAATGCCCTAATACGAGGGAACAACCGATTTGAGGCTCTTCCCCGACTTTCCCCAGTGACGAAGTATATCGAAAGGTATGGATGGGGCCCATTTGAAGTTAGGAACTTCTGGGGTTGGAAAGGAACTTGTCGGCGTCTCCTTAAAATATTTAACGTTCTATATGCATCCTGAAGCAAATGTACGGCCTTATTTAACATGGCAGCCACTCCCTTCAGGCACGCCCCATCCTCCCACCCTCGCCCTCCAACTGCCTCATTTGTGCAGTCAACACATTAAGTATATATTTTATTTACTTATTTTGGTTTAGTGTCTGATTCCCCACTGGAATGTCTGGTCCGGGTCAGGAATGCTGTGTTTTTCATTGTATCTCCAGTGCCTACTACAAATATAAACGCCCTGTTCTTGGCTTCTATCCTCAGTCCTCTGTCTCCTGGCACCTGGATGTGCTCACATGCTCACGGCCTCATTTAGTCCTCATAGACCCCTCCTAGGGGTGTAAGTATTATTCTTCACTTCCGAAACAAGGTATGTGAGGGCAGCCCTTGGGTTTTTGCTTCTCACATTCACCCAGGGGGCACCTAAAATACAGACCCTCTGCAAGCTTTCTAGAGAGCCAGTCTGGCTGCTGCATTTTCTTCTTCAAAATATTTTTATCTACAGCTCTGTCTTCCGGAGAAGCAGCGCGTCCAACTGCCATCAAGACCCCAGACAAGTCACTGTCTCTGAGCGTTAAGACAGGTATGCAAGTGTTTACCACTCCACAAGTGTTCAGTGAAGCTAACCTAAAGCGTCCGGATTTTCACAGAAGGGGCTCTATTTGCAGGTAGATGGCATTCTTCACTATTTGAAAATGTTAGGGGTTATAGTCACTTGTGGAGTAGATAACTTTCTGATAATAATCTTCCAGATTTCCATGGGAAATAGGGTAAGAAGCAAAGGTTCACAGGTAGAGGCTGGTGGAAAGGGTGGCAAATAGCGCTGCAGGGGGCAGGGAAGTAAGGGAGTGCCCCACCTTTGAGGTTTGGCATCTTGGTAAGGGAGATATCTGAGGTCCAGGGAGAAAAGCTGAAGAAGACATTTCATGACTTAGTTCTTATGTCCAGGGGGTATGACAACAGTGATGACCTCACAGGATTGCTCCAGGAAGGAGCTGAGATATAGAAAGTATTCAGTACGGCACCTAGTACACAGAAAGAGCTCAGGGGTCAGCCCTCTTTCCTATTACACTCCCTCACCAAATTTCAAGTCTGGGTCATAAAACTGTTTGGGAACCTTCACCGGCCCATCTTGCCTGGGATCTTCCCAAGCCCTCAGGGTTGCTCTCCTTGTGGCATCTTCACACCCTGCCCAGCCTTCCTCCTAAATCTGACTCATCATTTGCCACAATCAGAACCCTACCTCCTCCAGGAAGTCTTCCCAGGGGCTTCAGCCCATGGGCTCCCTTCTCCTGCCTGATAAGCTTTGAGCTTTTAGCATTTGAGATGCCCACTCTGGGACCCTTTCCTGTCTTGCTCTCCACTTCCACTCTCACACAGCTGATCTTAACCTACTGAAGGGCTGTCGGGTTCTTCCATAGGGCAGCCGCAACACTCCCCTCACTGCGTGGCTCCCCATTGTTCCTGCAGCCAGACTTGGGCCACTTCCTTTTTGGCTTTCACTGTCTTCATTCCTCCACAGACACCAGCCCCTTCCTTTCCTGGTCTGACTGTGCCTCGCCCCCTAGGGCCAAGCAAAGAGTTTTCTGGCTCAGAGATGCGTTTCCTCATTTGCCCTAGGTAAGCCTTACCTGTGAGCAACCTCGCTGTCCTCTGCCGTCCCTGCTGAATTGCGGGGTGGCGAAGGTCAGGCAGGGGCTGCAGTGGGAGGGTGCTGGCCAATGTCCACATAAGCAGTGGATGGGGGAGCTCTCCAGAGAGGTAAGTGAGCAGGGTGTTTGGCCCTCCTGTCCTGCAGTCAGTGCCCCGCAAACCCCCAGAGGCCCTGAAACCCAGCCTATTACTCAGGGATACAGCCAGGCCCTCAGTGAAGGGACAGGGACATCTCTGGGCCCCTTGCACCATGTCATCTGACTCTGTGACACATTCACCCTAGAGCCTGAGAAGCATTATCCCTCCCCCACCCCTGGAGGGCTGTCAGAGTTAAGAGATTTGGCACCAACTTCACCCCAAAATCCAAGTAAACCATGTGTCACTCCAGTCAAAAGTGATACTGGACAGCATGATATATTTGCCATAAATTAGGTCACGTTGTCCCGGAAGGGAAGACCAGGAGGTGAAGCAATCAGGTGGCCATGAGGGTACAGCCAGGTGGCCCAGAGCTCAGTGTCACAGATAAGGCTGGTCCTGGGACAGCTCCCACCTCTGTATGGGAGGAGCTGGCGTCA